TCATTCCCCTCCACCCTGCACACCCCTCCCCCATCATTCCCCCCTTTAGTTTATGTCGTCACAAGTTCTTTAGATTCTATATTTCCCATATTATTCTTGCCCTCCCCCCATCTATTTTCTGCCTACCATCTAGGCTACTTATTTTCTGTACCTTCTCCCCCCTTCTCCTTCTCCCACTCCCCTGTTGCTAACCCTCCATGTTCAAATAATTTTTTAATATTTTAAATCCTCATCTGAGGATATATTTATTGATTTAAGAGAGAGAGAGAAACACCGATGTGAGAGAGAAATCTTACAGCCCAGAGTTGTAGTGCCAGGAAAACAAGTCCTCATAGCTTCTGACTGTAAAAACTAGTGGGGATTGTGGCTGAGTGAGACCCAGGTGTTCCTCTTAAAGGGCTTGGATATGAACTTACTCAGATTCACTCCATCTGAGCTCCAGCACTAGGGCAGCAGCTGTAAAGGCACCAGGGACACACGGGAAAAAACAGAATTGTCTTGCATTGGGGTGAGAGGGGGGTGGGCAGCTTTCTGCCAGGCAAAAGTGCTGGCAGAGGCCATTGTTGCTTTTCTGACACTTCTGCCACCCCCTTCCCCCCACACACACAAAGCCAATAGGCGGTGCTGCATCCGAGACTCCATTAACCTGGCTCACACTCTTTGCCACATCCTGGGGATTTCCTAAGATCCCATCCCACCCAGCTCACAAGCCCATCCAAGCTGTATCCAGTGGCTTTTCCATAGAACTGAAAATCTCTCAAGTAGCATCTGGCCGCTGAGTACCTCCTACCTCTTGCTAAGTGGCCCCAGGCCTGGCACTAGTGACAAACTGCCCTGGTTCACTGCTTGGCCTCTTCTGGCCACCTCTAAGCCCAACACAAGTAGCAGCCGTCTGCAAATTACTTTGTATCTCATGCTCAGATGGCCACAGGCAGGGCATAGGTGGTGGCTGACCTTGCACCTCTCAGGAGACCCCAAGGCCAACACACCCTGTGGACAGCTTCAGACCACATCACATTACAACCCTACCACCTCCACAAGCAGCACACTCAAGGAGGGCACTCGGTGAGCAACAAAGCCCACGAAGCAAGTCCTGCTCTGTAGGGTGGAAGCCTGCACAGCAGCTCCTCTGCTGTAGTTGTAGCTGGTCCTCACAGACAACTGACCTGGGGGTCAGTGCCTCCCAATAATGCCACAGCAACTAAGGCACAACTACAACAGCCGTGCACACAGCCCACACAGGGACGCACCTGGAGTGCCCAGCCTGGGTGACTGCGGAGGCTGCACCACTGGGCCCTACAGGGCACCTACTACATAAGACCACTCTCCCAAGTCTGGGAGATGTAGCAGCTCTCCCTAACACATGGAAACAAACATAGGGAAGCAGCTGAAATGTGGAGACAAAGAAACAACTGCAAAACGAAAGAACAAAATAAATCTCCAGGAAAAGAGCTAAATGAAATGGAGGCAAGGAAACTACCAGATACACAGTTCAAAACAGTAGTTATAAGGATGCTCAAGTGCCCTGGCTGGTGTGGCTCAGTGCACTGAGTGCTGGCCAGAGAACGAAAGGGTTGCTGGTTTGATTCTCAGTCAGGGCACAGGCCTGGGCTGCGAGTTGGGTCCCCTGCTGGGGGTGTGCAAGAGGAAACTGATTGGTGTATATCTCACACATCGATGTTTCTATCCCTCCAAAAATAAATAAATAAATAAATAAATAAACAAACAAATAAATAAAATCTGTTTTAAAGAAAAGGATGCCCAGGAACTTAGTGAGAAGTTCAACAGCATAAAAAATGACATAAAAACCATAAAAAATAACCAGTCAGAAATTAAGGACACATTGACCCTGGCCAGGTTGCTCAGTTGGTTATAGAATTGTCCTGATGTGCCAACTCCAGGACCCAATGAATGGGTTCAATTCCTGGTCACGGCACATACAAAAATCAGCCAATAAATGCACAGGTAAGTAGAACAACAAGTTGATGTTTCTCCCTCTCAAGTAAATTTTTAAAAATTTTAAAAAGTACAAGAAAAACGATGAATACAAAACTGAAATGAAGAATAATTTATAGGGAATCAACAGTAGAGTAGAGGATGCTGAGAATCAAATCAGTGATTTGGGACATAAGGAAGCAAAAAACACCCAATCATAACAACAAATAGAAAAAAATCCAAAAAGCAAATAGTGTAAGGAGCCTCTGGGACAACTTCCAGCACACCAACACTCACCTTGTGGGGATGCCAGAAGAAGAGAGAGAACAAGAAGTTATAAACCTGTTTGAAAAAATAATGACAGAAAACTTTCCTAACCTGCTGAAGGAAATAGACATACAAGTCCAGGAAGTGCAGAGAACCCCAAACAAGATAAATCCAAAGAAGCCCCTACCAAGACACTATAATTAAAATACAAAAGGTTAAAAACAAGGAGAAAATCTTAAATGCAGCAAGAGAAAAGTAGTTAGTTACCTACAAGGGAGTTCCCATAAGACTGTCAGATGATTTCTCAAAAGAAAATTTGCAGGCTAGAAGGAAGTGGCAAGAAGTATTCAAAGTGATAAAAAGCAAAGACCTATAGCCAAAATAACTCTAGCCAGCAAAGCTATCATTTAGAATTGAAGAACAGCTAAAGAGCTTGCCAGACAAGGAAAAAGTAAAGGAGTTCATCACCACCAAACCAGTATTACATGAAATGTTAAAGGGTCTTTTTAAGAAGAAGAAAAAATTAAAAATATGAACAATAAAATAGCAATAAATACATATCTATCAGCAATTGAATCTAAAAATCAAAGTAAATGAGCAAGCAGAACAGAAACAGACTGATAGATACAGAGAATATTTTGACTGTTGCCAGATGGGAGGGGACTTGGGAGCATGGGTAAAAAGTGAAGGATTTAGAAGTCCAAATTCTGATAGTCACAGAATGGTCACGGGAATGTGAAGTACAGCATAGGAAATATTGTCAGTGATATTCTAATAAGTATGTATGGTATCAGATGGGTATGAGATTTATCAGGATGATCACTTAGTAAGTTATATAATGTCTAATCACTGGGGTTTACACCTGAAACTGATATAATATTGTATGTCAACTGTAAATGAAAAGTGGAATAAAAGAGAGAGAGAGAGAATCACATCTGAGTCATCAAATGTGTTACAGAATTAGAGTTTTGCTGCTTGGGCTGCATGGTGGCCACAAGAAAGTTTTATTTACTTGCAACAAGTAAAGGAGGCCAGATTCACATACAAAGCTCTGCCTCCCTGAAGGAAGGCTTAGCCATTGCTTATGCACACTGTGTGGTCAATTACACATTGATATCTTCTTTGCAGTTGGCTACACTTACCAGGGTGACTTCCTGTGATGTTTACCTTGTTTACAGCTGGTCTGAGAAATACCGTGCTACATTTTAACATTGAGCAGGAATGGCAGTTAGTAACAATAGCCCAGACCAAAGATTTTCAACAGGCATGTGCCCCAAGAGGCACACTGGTGTGCCACAAGAATTTTTAAAGCATATAATACCTGACTATTTAGTCAGGGGCACTGACCTCTTTTCCCTTAGATTGTCAAATTTTAAAAATGACAACAGCGAACACAATAGCCATCCAGCGTGAATGAGTTAAAAGTATACCTATTTTTTAAAAGATTTTATTTATTTATTTATTTATTTATTTTAGAGAGGGGAAGGGAGGGAGAGAGGGAGAGAAAAGTCAATGTTTGGTTGCCTCTTATGTGTCCTGCCCTGGGGACCTGGCCTGCAAACCAGGATGTGCCCTGACTGGGAATAGACTGAGCAACCCTTTAGTCCATAGGCTGGCACTCAATCCATTGAGTTACGCCAGCTGGGGCAAAAGTATACTTATTTTTGTCTGATTGGCAAAAAATATATTTTGTGTGTGTGCCACAGAATTTTAGTAACTAGTTTATGTGTGCCATGAAATTAAAAAGGTTGAAAATCTGTGGCCCAGACCCTTGAGACCCTTGTCCTATCTAACAGAAGGGCCAGTCTTTCTTGCATAGTCTTGTTCTATTCACTGCAGGACACTTAGCTTAGCTGACACCTGCCCACCAATTGCCAGTAGCTTTGCCAGTCATTGTGACCACCAAAAATGCCCCAAGTACTTCCAAAAGCTTAGGGAACGTATTGTACTATCGACCTTGCAAAACCAACACCACCATACCGCACTGTAAGCCACATAACGCCCAGCAATAAACCTCTAGAGTGGTTTCTGTCATCTACATGGAACCCTAACCCAGACACACACGCACACACACAAGAAACTCCTAGAAAAGACAAACTAAGATATCAAAGTTCATGATGAAAATTAACACAAATCGACGCCTACAATCTCCATGAGAAGGAGGCTGAGAATCTACCTATAGAGCCAAGAATGGGTTTGGGGGCAGAGGGTCGAGATGCCGGGTTCAGAGGCGAAGGGCTGGGGGGTGGTGCGGGAGGGCGTACAGGGAGAAGGACCTCGGGGCATCATCCACTTCGCGTCCCCACCCCCCTCACTCACCCCCCGCAATGTCCTCGGCTCCCACCAGAAGGCGCCCGCATTCCCGGCGCGTAGCAGAAGCTGAGCCCAGCAGCGCCGCGATTAGAAGAGCCGGGCGGCGGCGTGAGCCCTCCGGGGCAAGTGAGACAGGGTGCAGGGGAGCCGTGGCTTTGTTCCTGGGGCTGACACCTCAACTCCGTTCGCCACCCTGGCAGAAAACGCCCAGAACCACCCATAGCGCCTTTATCTACCAAGCCCAGAGAGTCGGAAGGCGAGCAGGGTCCAGCGCTCTGGGGAGGCGGGAGGATCCCGCACGCTCCGAGCCTGACGCGCGGCTCCGGGATCAGGCCGCCTCCGGCCCCATGAGGACCCCCAGGCCGGGGCTGAGAGCCTGGAGCAGCCCGGATCGAAATCTGGCGGCGGCCTTAGAGCGCTAGGCAGGTCAGTGCCCAGGCGGGTGAGGGCTCAGCTGGAGGTGGGAGGAGTCGCGCTCGGCGGACTGTCCCTCAGAGCGACTGCCGGAGGCCACTCACCAGGTCACCTCCGCGCGGGGCACCCAGTAGCGCGGGAGTGATTCTGCATTTTTCATGACAGGCAAGGTGCGGAGCCACCCTTTGTAGCACACCCGGGGCCAGGTGACGTTCGGACCGAGGAATTGGGGGGGGGGGACTGACTCACGGGCTGGGGGTGGGGGGGCGCGACGGGCTTGGGGACGTCCGCTGCTCTAATAAAGAGAAGCTCTTCTACTCACGCGCGGCCGCATCGAAACCCCAGCAGCCAAAGGTCCCTCGCATCGAGATGCTGGGCCTTGGGTGTGAGAGGAAACTGGGACGCGGGAGAGGCGAGAAGGAAGGAGGTTGGGAGACACAAGGCCCAGGGAGTGAGGGGAGCGCGCGGGGTGGGGCGGGGGCGACGACCGGCTGTGTCAATGCCGGCGCGCAGAACGCGCGGAGCGCCCTGGGGAGCGCGGGCGGGGGTGCCCAGGGTCTGCCCACGCCTTTCCTCCGCTCCTTTCTCACCCTGCCACACCCTTCCGCCCACCCAGAATGCGGGTGGGCCGCAGGGCCCTCTGTGTGCTGGTTCTGCTGCTCGCCTGCGCCTCGCTGGGGCTCCTCTACGCAAGGACCCGGGACGCGCCGCACCTCCGGGTACCTCTTAATCTGTGGGCGCCCGCGCGGGCCCCCCCCAGGCCAGAGTTGCCCGACCTCGCCCCCGAGCCCCGCTATGCCCACATCCGGGTCAGGATCAAGGAGCAAGTGGTGGGGTGAGTGCCAGGAGTGGTAGCGGCAGTGCGTCGCTCCCCGGGGGGTCGGAGGGGGCTTTGTTTCCTCCGCCGCTGAGCTCTGGTGCCTGCCTTTCTCCGCTGGTTGTGGGGGTGAAGTGGGAGGTGGAAGGGGCTACTGAATCTTCGGTTGGGGGGAAATCTTCCCTCTCCGAACACTGTCATGGTGATGGAGGCTGGCCCTGAAACACTTTCTGACGTCTTGGTGGTGTCCACCTCAAAGGAGAGCCCAGATGCGGCCGGAATGGTGGGTGGGCGGACAGCCCCGAAATCCTAGCGGTCTGGCCCTGTTCTGCATTTCTGTGAAATCCGGAGTTGGGGAATAGGTCGTGCTCATCGTGGGCCCTCCTCCTGGGGATTCTTTGAAGAGCAGTGTTTAAGGGGACAGACACCGGGCGGGCAGGGCCGGAGGGGCAAGGTGTGGGGCACTGAGTGAATGTTTCGTGGGAGGGACAGAGCTGTGGGGTTGGGCCTGATGACCCTTCCTCCCCACTCCAGGCTGCTGTCAGGAAACAACTGCAGCTGCGAGTCCAGCGCGAGGGGTCTTCACCTCCCCTTCCAGAGGCAGGTCCAAGCCATCGACTTCACCAAGGCCTTTGACCCTGAGGAGCTGAAGGCTGCCTCTGCCGTGAGGGAGCTGGAGTTCCAGGCCTTCCTTTCAAGGTACCAGTGCGAAAGGAGAGCATGACCCCACAGTGGCAGAGGCGAGGCCCGGGGGTGGGCACCACAGGAGGGAGAGCCCCACCCGCACTGATCCTGCCTCTGCCTCTGCCCCCCCCCCCACTGCCAGGAGCCAGTCTGCTGCGGACCAGCTGCTCATTGCTCCCGCCAACTGCCCCCTACAATACCCCGTGCAGGGTGTGGAGGTGCAGCCCCTCAGGAGCATCTTGGTGCCAGGTGGGGGAGAAAGGTCCGAAGGGGTGACCTAAGCCACTGTGGGAGTGGCAGAGCCCAAGGTGGGGTGGGGAAGAATGAGGGAAGTTTGGAATGGGAACCGGGACGTCTGATGAGAGGAGGCTTAAGGTCTGAAGGGGGCCGAAGAGGCGGGAGATGGGGGCAGAAGGGATTCTTGGGTTGTCAGGAACTGCAGAAGACTGTGCCTGGAGAGCTTTGGAGACAAGAATCTATTGTTTGCAGACTAACCAGAGGTTACGTGGATTCGCTAAGGCAGACCATGTAAGAGCTACTGCTTGGATGGGAAGGAGTTAAAAATGTGTTACTCTAGGCTACTTCCCACACTGGGCCCAGCTGCCCAACAACCGTATGGGGGAGAGGTTCTGTGTTGTGTGTGGCGACAGAGGGAAGAAGTTATCGAAGCTGTCTGTGATTTTCACCCTCCTCCTTCCTCCCAGGGCTGAGCCTGCAGGCTGCTTCTGGTCAAGAGACATACCAGGTAAGAAGAAACGACAGGGCAGGGAGCCCAGTGGGCAGGATGCTGGGAGGGAAATATGGCTGCCAAAGGAGGGATGCAGGATTCAGGTCTGGGGCTAACGCCACATTGTCCAATACCCTCCTCCAGGTGAACCTGACTGCCTCCTTGGGCACCTGGGACGTGGCAGGGGAAGTGACTGGAGTGACTCTCACAGGAGAGGGGCAACAAAATCTCATCCTCACCAGCCCAGGGCTGGACCAACTCAATCGGCAGCTGCAACTGGTTACTTATAGCAGCCAAAGCTACCAGGCAAACACAGCAGACACAGGTGCGAGGAGCTGGGTGCAGGTAGGGGCAGCCTAGGTGAACAGACGGAACTCAGAGAGGCTGCAGTGAGCAAATGGCAGAAGGTGTGGGAGACACTGGGCAATGGCCAGAGCTGCCCAGCCACACAATGGGCATTTCAGCTAGGCCAGCAGGGCCAGGGAGGGAGAGAAGAGGCCTTTGTTCATCTGGGGCCAGAGTAGGCCAGAGGGAAATCTGAGCCTTGGATGTGTTCCCTCTTCAGGCCAACCATGGGGGCCCCAGGAAGTGACATGACTCAGGAGCCAGAAGACTCAAGCTCTATTCCCAGCCCACCACTTACTACAGGGCAAAGGGCTTTATCCCCCAAACTCGAACTTCTAGCAAAAGGGATCTAACACAGCCCTCTTGCTTCTCCCCCATGGCTTGCTACGCCAAACCTGCTCTGGCTTTGGGACTTTGCATTTGCTGTTCCCTCTGCCTAGAATGCTCTTCCCCCAGATTTCCGTATGGCTGGATCTTTCTTGTCTTTTGGATCTCAGCTCAAATGTCTTCTCTTCACTATCACATTACTTGTCTTATTTTCCATTCAATACTTAACAGTATATGAACTTTTTTAATTCACTTAACCCAGAAGAACCGGGCTGACTAGGTTCCTAGTCCAGCTTTGTTGGTTAATAATTGTCTAAATGTGGCAAATTACTTAATTTCTCTGTGCCTTCTTTTTCTGTAGTAGGTAGGCATCTACTTACTAAAGCTATTGGGAGGATTAAATGAGTCCATATGTTTAAGGTAATTTACAAGGTGCCTGGCCCATAGTAAATGCTCAGTAAAGGTTAGCTTTAATTAAATATTTTCTCGCCTTTCTCCCACCCATTAGAATGTAAGTTCCATGGGGGTAAGAACATTGTATTCTTGTCCTCCAGGGCCTAGAAAGGGGATACACAGAATAAGCACTTAAATATTTATTTACTGAAAAGAGAATGTTGTTCCAGCCTTAAGGTGCACATCTCATGCCCTTTCTTCCCAGTCCGGTTCTCCACCGAGGGACATGAAGCGGCCTTCACCATCCGTATAAAGCACCCCCCCAACCCTCGCCTGTACCCACCTGGGTCTCTACCTCAGGGAGGTGAGGCTGGTGCACGCAGGGACATGCATGGAGCCTCGGTGGGGAGCAACTTGGGAGAAGCCTGCACGGGAAAGATGCCTTTTTGCTCCTCACTATCCACTCTCGTTGTCTGCGCCCAACCCTGCCCCCTCAATCCCAGCCCAGTACAACATTAGCGCTCTGGTCACCATTGCCACTAAGACCTTCCTTCGTTACAATCGGCTGCGGGCACTCATCGCTAGCATCCGCCGCTTCTACCCGACGGTCACTGTGGTCATCGCCGACGACAGCGACAAGCCAGAGACCATTAACGGTCCCCACATCGAGCACTATCTCATGCCTTTTGGCAAGGTGCGCAGCGAGCAAGGCTGAACCACACACACCCGAGGGCACCGGGAGGGGGCGCGCGCGCGCTCAGTCTGCTATCGCCAGAGTGGTGACAACAGGGTTATCCGCCTCGAAATCACTGGGGTGCCTGTTAACCCAGAGGCTTTCCGGAAGGAATGCAAGCTCTGTGAAAGCAGGAATCGTGTCTATCTTATTCCCGCTGCATTCTTAAAATGGTTCTTAGGACCCAGTGGGTACGTGATAAATCGTTGAATGAATGCACGCAGGAATTCAATGCATTCCAAGACTCTCCCCCAAAACATTGACTCAGAACCTCTGACAGTGGGAAACTGCATTTTTTACCTAGCTTCCCATTTAAAAGAATTCGAGTTTGGAGAGGGATACAGGCTGTTGAGAGGGGGCAAGAGTGGAAAGAAAAGGTGCCAGGGGGTGCTATGTCCTACCCCTCCAGCTTCACCAACCATACATACCCTTAACCAGGGCTGGTTCGCAGGCCGGAACCTGGCTGTGTCCCAAGTGACCACCAAGTACGTGCTGTGGGTGGACGACGACTTCATATTCACTGCGCGGACGCGGCTGGAGAGGCTTGTAGACGTGCTGGAGCGGACGCCGCTGGACCTGGTAAGGGCAGGGCCGCAAGATGGGGCGTAGGAGACGGAGGGCCTCCAGGGGGTTAAGATCACGTTGGAGGAGAGGAGTCGAGAGCGCCCGGCCCTGAGACAGGAGAGGATGAAGAAGAGGGGCCTCGGGGACCACCTGGGTCCTGAGGGGTAGAGCGTCAAAGGACGGGGCAGGGTAACCGCCCCGGGGCGGAGGGAGCTCAGACCGACCCCCTTCCAGTCCCCGCCCTTTCTCCAGCCACCCTCCCGCTCCCGACAGGTGGGGGGCGCGGTTCGCGAGATCTCCGGCTTCGCCACCACTTACCGGCAGCTACTGACTGTGGAGCCCGGCGCTCCGGGCCACGGGAACTGCCTCCGGCAAAGGCGCGGCTTCCACCACAAGCTCCCAGGCTTCCCGGGCTGCGTGGTCACTGACGGCGTGGTCAACTTCTTCCTCGCGCGCACCGACAAAGTGCGCGAGGTCGGCTTCGACCCTCGCCTCAGCCGCGTGGCGCACCTGGGTGAGTGGGGCCCCCTCCCGGCAGGGTCTCAGTGGGCGCTGGGCGAGGCTCCACGCAAGGCGCCGAGGGCACCGGCGACTCCTTCCCGCCGGTGCCTTCGGAGCCCACGGCTGCCACCCGGGGCCCCGAAAGCCGTTCTACGATTTACCAAGACCTGCGCCGGGCAAGAGACGGAGCTCCCACTTCCCGGCCTGCACGCCTGCCAGGTTGTCCAACCTGTGGCCGGCCGGCCGCATGCGCCCCCTATGGCTATGAGCACGGCCCAATACACAGTCGTAAATCTACGTAAAACACGATGAGATTTTGTGTGTGATTACGTGTCCCACACCCCACCTTCACACTCAGCGCAGCTGCTGGGTCCACCTTGAACTTCCCTACCGCTGTCATGTCACCTCTGCCCCCCCCCTTCCTTCCCCTGGAGCTCAGAAGTGGAGTCTTTGCATGCTCACCCTCCATATTCCAAATCTCAGTTTCCCCTGAGGGTTGGCCTGCACCCTCAAAGCCCTTCACTGTGTGCTCCCCTTCTTCCCACCCCCAGAATTCTTCCTGGACGGACTAGGCTCCCTGCGGGTGGGCTCCTGCTCAGATGTCATTGTGGATCATGCATCCAAGTTGAAACTGCCCTGGACAGCAAGGGACACTGGAACAGAGACTTACGCCCGGTACCGCTACCCGGGATCACTGGACGAAAGTCAGGTGGCCAAACACCGCCTGCTTTTCTTCAAACACCGGCTGCAGTGCATGACAACGGAGTGATGGCCCCTCAGGGCCTTCCAACTATCCGGCCCAGCCTGCCTCCTCGTCCCCGAAAGGAATTTCTAGCAAACCCCACCACCCAGTGACCACTCCACTGACTGTCCCCGATTCCCTTCTGGAGCTGATCCCAAACAGGGGCTTGTCTTGGTGACACCCCTCCTTTCTGTGAGTGCCCAGGGGCATGATGGAGCCATAACTCTTCCCACAGCCAGTGCCAAGTCCTCCCCCCACCCCTTCTCAGGGAGGTTGGGGGTCACTTTCCAAGTGCCAAAGAGCCCAAAGGACTCTAAGAACCTAAAGTGGAAACACTCATCTCCTGGGGATTGAGTTGGGGGGGAAGCCCCCAACATGTATTCCCTGGGCTGTGCCCCCTCCCCATGTCTGGATCCAGGACTGTGCACCGGCTGCAGCCCCACCCCCATGGAGAGAACTAATGTCTGGAGCTGTGGTGAGGGCTAGTGAACACACAGGTGAAAACCATTTTGGGTTGTGTCTCTGCAATGCTGTGGGCATGGAAGAAGGGGCACCGGGGCCTGGATGCAGACACCCAGACTCACTTCATGAATCCCAGAGGCTCTCAGCTTCATTTTATTAGTTACATTAAGCAAGGGGGCTCAAGGGCAAGGCCCTCCCCTCACACACATGTTGTTGGGCCCTCCACACTCCAAGTAACTGGGTCAGACCCATACCGTGCACGTCTTCGGACCAGCGAGCTCCTGGAAAAGGGGGGGAACATTTCAGAAATAGACTAAGTACCACTCGCCTCCTTCCCCATCCAGGATCTGGCAGTCCTCTGAGGGGCACATACTGCCTTTGGAATCTTTAGTTTCTTATTCTTCACCCACAGCTGGCGCCATTCTCTGTGGCTGAGACTTGATAAATTAACTCATCATTTCTTCCCTCCACCTCACTCCTCAGCCCCCTTCCCAAATCCCTCTGCGGCATCCGTGGCCACTGATTCACGCCCCACTCGCTACGTCCCAGCACCTCCTTGCTTCCACTCTCGTTGCTCCCGCCCCTCACCAGTCTCTCCAGGGCGTGAGCAGCTGCATCCTGGACACTCACAAACAGCTGCTCCGGGGTCACTCTGTCCAGTAGTCCTGCCTGGGTCAGTGTCCCCAGCACGGAGGCTATGTGGAAAGGGGGTCAAGCTCTCAGGTTCTACGTCCACACTGTCCTCTCCCCCCACCCAGAAGTGTCCGGTCATTTCCCCAGCCTCTAGGTCCCTCCGGATGCCACACCTCTCACCATGACACTGAGCCAGGAGAAGGTGGATCCCAGCATCTCGGCATCTGCTGGCCAGCTGCGGAGGTGGGGCAGTGAGTTAAAGCCTACATCAGGTAGTATGTGTGGGCCGATAAGGGCAGTTCCTCCTCAACCTACCCCCTTGCTCACCTGCACCACTTCTCTGGCCCCAGCAGCATCTGCAAAGGTGATACCACCACAGTCTAGGACCACCACCCGGACAGACTCAGCAACTAGGATGGGAGAAGGCAAGAGTACCCAGATGTTTCCATGGGTCACGCCCAAATCCCCCGCCTTGGCATCCCACCTCACCTGCATCGGGTGGGCCATCTGTCTTTGGAGTCTCCTGTGGGTAGGAAAGAGCTGTCACCACTTGCGAGGCACAAGCATGAACACACACACCTCGAGCACAATAATCCCCCCAGAAACCTTCCTGCCTCCCACTCACAGAGACGCCACACTCCCCTCTGACCCTCACCTTGCCTCTTCCAAGCCCCAGATGCCACTCCAGGATACGGCGAAACTGCCCACGAGTCCCAAAGTAGAGAGGTGTGGGATAGCTTAGGATGCACAGCCCTGGCACCTGGAGGAGCTAAGGGGTCAGGGGGTCAGAGAAACATCCAGGTCTAACCTTCCCTTCCTTCCCTGGCTGTAGCCCACCTACCTTGGGGCTCTCTTTGAGTGGCCGGTAGAGCTCTGTCCCCTCAGCCAGTCCAAGTGCCACACACTGCACCCTTGACAGGAAGCTGGGGTCAGATTTCCAGCCTGGTCTGGCTGCAGAGTCACCCCAAGTGCTCCTTTGTCTCCCCTCCCCTCATCTCCACTCTCCTCATCTCTACTCCCACCTCTGGGTGCGGCAGACCACCGTCATCATGGAGAAGACCACACCTATGGCCAGGCCCAGGTCCACACTCAGGGTCACTACAGCCAGCCATGTGACCATCCACACAGCCTGCAGGACACAGATGGGAATGAAATGTCCAGAAGAAATACCAGGCCATCACTGCTCCAGAAAAGGAGCCAGGGGCAGTGACTGCCTGGGCAAGTGATGGGGAGGGCTGGCTCAGGAGGAGGTAGAAAGAAAAACGTGAGGAGGGGACAGGATTGACCCAGCAGTGGGTACACACCGGATGTAATGGTGTGCATTACATCTCCTGGGGACCTTGCATCTCCTGGGGAGTCACGAATGTTCGGGTCTGAAAGGGTTCAACACCCGCCCCCAACCTCGTCTTGGAGGAAAGGGATTATTAAGAGGTATGCGGGTTGGAGATGGGTGGATTGCAGAATTTAGGACCGTGACACTTAGGCTTTGGTCCAGGACAGAGGCTGGGGGTGCTGGAAAAACGGGAGGGAGCAGTCTGGGTTAATGCTGCCATTTCTCACAAAATCCACGCGGCTGATGCGCCATAGTTGTGGAAGTTCCTGCATCTGGAAGAACATCTGGCGCATGCTGGAGATGTTGATGCAGGCCAGGACAGCCTTGGGATAGAGGACACAAAACAGTCCCCCCAGTAACCTGGAATACAGCCACCCTTCCCAGCCACCCCCACACTTTCTCTGCTCCTTACCTTGGGCAGATAGTAGAAGAAGGGTCCCAGCCACAGCAGCACCGATAGGACAACTATGCAGGAGAAGAGGCCTGCCAGCTGGAGGGAAGAATGGGTGGGAGCAAAGAAGGGAGGGAAACTCGCCCACCTTCGTGTGAGGGGTGGTCTCCCTCTCCACGGCCTCATCTTCCTTGGAAACCTCTCTCCTCCTAAACCCCCTTCCACACAAACATTCCTCCCCATTCAATGGACTTCTTGATGTTCTGCCATCCACACCTTCCCTTCCCTTTCCCACAATTAAATGCCTCACTCACTGACCTCCCCTAGATGTGGTCAACTTCTCTATTTCTAAAGCCACTTCAAAGTCACTTATGAGCCTCCATCTTAAAAGCGGGAATGAAAAGTGGGAATTACCCTAAAAATGTGGGAATTACTTTTTAGGGAATTACCCTAAAAACAGGCTAACCACATGCCTATGCATCAACAAAGTAACTGAAACCAAAAATATAAAAATACTAGGGCGGGCTTTGATCGGTGATATATCTTTTTAAAAGAAAAGGTCCTTATGAAAAAGATGAGAATTTTGTCTCTTACATTTATTTTGCAGTTTAGTGTTGTTGTTACTTTGAGTTACACCTGGAGCACCGTAAACTGTCTTGGTGCTTCCAGTCTGCAAAGGTCGTAATGGAACCTGGTTCCCTTCTCTCCCTCCCATCTAGATAATCCCACCCCTCCCTCTCCCTCCCTCAGAGTCTGCCCTCCTCTGTGTAGGGAGCGCCCATCTGTTTCTCTACCACCGCCACCACCAGAACCTGGACGTCCCCCCTTTCCTCCTGTGGACTCACCCACGGCACACTCTTACCTGTGTGTTCCCACCAGCATCCACCAGTAGGCTGGTGGTGGCCAATGTGGCCGAGTTGGGAAAGCAAGAGAAGAGGGAGGAGATGAGGTTGGAGGCACCGTGCGCCAACAGCTCCTGGGGGTACATTGAGATGAAGAGAGAAACAAAGCCATGGGGGATACCATTAGGGGGTTGTCTTCTGAATGAGGTTGGAGTCCCCAGCTGGAGTCACACCTGGTTGGCGTCAATAGTGTAGCTATGTTTGTCTGCATAGATGGAGGCCAGGGAGGCAGACACAGCAAAAGTAACCAGTGCGATGGGCAGTGAATCGTCCAGAACCCTGGGTAGCTCGGCCAGGTTGGGGAAGAGAGGCTGGGGAAATCTGCAGAGACAGGGACCCGTGGTAAGAACCTGCTGGGTATAAAAAGGATTATAGAAAAGATGGAGAAAAAAGGATGGAGCAGGACAAAAAGAGGTGTCAGGTGGGAGAGGTGTGAGAAGAGAAAGCTTGTGTCCTTTCACCCTCTCTTACCCTCCAGGCAGCAGCCCCACTATCTGGACGTTATATCTCGCGTCCAGGGAAGAAGTGAAGCAGAGCACGGAGGCCAGAAGCACCTGGGAAAGACAGCGTGAGAGGAAATGGGCCCCCTGGCAGAGGCTAGTAGGGCTCAGCGTCAGACAGGATCAAAATACAGGATTAGCTGCTTGCAGGAGCCTAGCAACTGCGGGAGCTGGGATGTGTCTGGGATGGGTGCCTGACAACTGATTTAGAGGGAAGGAGAGTGGGGACGAAAAGAGGAATGACACCTCCCTGAGGCTATGGAGAGAGATGGGTGGGAGCAGAAAGGGGGCTCCTAGGGGGGAGGGATGTGGGTATCAGGAGGCAAAACAGAGCCGTTCCAAGTAGGGAAGCCCGGCCAGGTCTGGGGATATATAGGGTATCTGTGGAGACATGGAACTTTTATTTCATGGGGAGAGAGAATGTAGGTGGGGGTGGAAGGGAAAATAAACTGAATGTGAAAGATCAGGTAAAAAGAGAGAAGGAAGTGGATGTGCTGCGCCCAGCGACACCGCACGGGCGCGCTGTGAGGAGGAAGAATGCGTTCTAAGAGCTGCAGAGGAGACTCCACGAGGAAAGTGGAAACGAGTGTGCGAGGGATGCTGGAGGGGTCCAAGTCTTCTTGGAAGAAGCCTAGAAAACAATTTTGCCGTGTATAATGCGCACTTTTTGCCCAAACCTTTTAGGGCAAAATAAGGATGCGCGTTGTACCTGAGTACATACCATAGGTACAATAATGTGGATGCGCATTATACAGGGCAAAATACGGGGTACGTGCGTAAGCAGGACCTCTCGGCTGTGACCTCTCTTTATTCCGCTAGGGGGCGGCGACGGCCAGTTCCTACGGGATAAGCAAGGTCTGCTGGGCGCAGGGAGCGGGTTCGCAGGAGCCACCCTCACCATGACGATTTCCCCTGGGATCGGGGTGGGTAGCTTGTCTCGGAACCTCACGTTCAATTCCTTGACCGGCACGAGCAGCGCCAGGCTGAGTGCAGAGATGGTCAGTTCGGCCGGGTTGCTCCGGGGCAGCGCGGTCAGCACAGAGGCCAGCGTCTGCGGGCGGGGCCGGTGAGCAGAGAGCCCGGAGCCGGGGCGACTGTCCCCAGCGCGGACCTCGCAGATGCAGGCAAGGCCTTCTCTCCCGCCTCCACGGCGACCCTGATCCAGGCTCCTGGTTCTCACCTCCTTTCCCCCGCCCCCGCCCCGGTTACACACGACCCCTTCCTCGTCCGGTTGCCCTCTTCCCGGGCCTGCTAGAAGCCTCTTTCCCGCTGTTCTCCCACTCCCACCTTGAAGAGAGCGAAGCAGCCGATCTGGCGCGGGAGGGGCAACCCCAAGAGGCTCGGCAGTTGGGACACGAGCACGTGCAGCGCGGCCCCGCTGGTCAGCGCTTTAACCACGGGCTCCGACAGAAAGGTGGACAGGACTCCGAGCTGCAGCGCGAACATCCCCAGCTGCCGGGAAGAAGACGCGCAGTCACCACGGGAAGGGCAGACCGGTGGCAGCGCAGTGCGCCGGCCGAGACCTGCGAGGGGCGGACGCATCCCGCCCTCTCCTCAGGCCCTATTCCCCCCGGGGCGCCCAGCGGGACCCTCCACCCCGCCCCAGGATCATCCCTCACCATCAACGCCCCGCTCCCGAAGGCCAAGGCCGCAGCTGCCTCGACTCGCCGAGCGTCCAGCTGTTCCCTCTGGGTTACGCTCAAGTTTCCCCCGAGGGGTTCGGGCACTAGCTGCTCCACTGCCGAGCCCGTCATGAGGCTGAGTACGCCGAACGTTCCTAGGACCCGAGCGCAAGTAGAAATGACCAGTTGTGCTGTCTGGGGCACAGCGACAGCCCAGGCTGGGCACTGGCTGCGGGTGTGTGGGCATCAGACCGCGCTCCCGCAGAAAGCAGCTGCTCAGGTGGAAGCCGCAGGGCTCAGCCGGTGCAGGAGTCGGCGCCCGTGGCGAGGGGAGGTTAGAGGCGGCGCCAACCGGCAAAAACAGGCCCCAGACTGAATCCCTGCCTCTTCCTGAGGACGCCCCGCGGACTGCGTGCCCCTGTAGGTGACTGCGCGTCTCTTCTCCCCTCTTCCAAGGCCCAGAAATTTTAACCAAATTCCATAGGGAGAAAAAGCCCGAGTAAATTGCCACCTCTTCGCACCCCCAGCGCGCGTTGCCTGGGTCAGAGGGTCAGGCGGGGGGTGGCGGTGAGTGGGGGAAAGGGCCAGGGGCCTACGAGAACAGAAGCCTCAAATCCCTGTCCATTTCCACCCCGCTCACCTGTGGACAGGTGTCTCCCAGTGCCCAGCAAGGTGTAGATGAGGACGGGAAAGAAAGACGTGTAGAGGCCGAACACCGGGGGCACGGAGGTCAAGAGGGCGAAAGCCATGCCTGGGGGAAGTGGATGGAAGTTCTGTTGCGGCGGGGGCATGGGGGGCGCCCGCTTCAGGACGCCGCCCCCTTCGCACACTCTCCGAGGCTGGCGAGGAGCCGCTAAACCTCGTCTCTGGAGGAAACCGAGGGGTTAACGGGCCTGCTGGGTGGTCAGGGGCACAAGTCCGTGTCCGGCCGAGTGCTGGGGGGCAGGGGTTGTGCCTGTCTGCAGTTCGCTGAGCCGGAAAGTGTCCAAGACTTCTCGCAGGGTTGCGCAGATGAGGGGCGCTGGGGGGTGGGGATCTGACAGAGCTCCACAGTCCTTACCCAGAACTCGGCCTCGGGTCCCGGTCTCCGAACCTCAACCACTCAAACCTACCACCTCGCTCCCAGGGTCCCAGCCCCCTCGCTTCCCCAAGCCCTCTAGAGCTTGCGGCCCTGACAGGCTGGCGTGGGGGCCGCTTACCCTGGGGCACGTGCACGATGCCCACAGTCACTCCAGCCACCGCGTCCCCAAGCAGCCAGGCCCTCCAACGGTAGTGGGGCAGCCAGCGCAGCGGGGGCAGCCGCGCCAGCAACAGGCGCCACGCCCCCGGTCCAGAACAGGCGCGGGCCCGCCGCCTCCACAGTCCGCACAGCCCGGACCAGCGGGGCTCCGCCAGCAGCTCCCTCTCCTGCTCTGCGCCCCCGAAGAGCTGCTGGAACCGGGCCTCGGTGAGAGGTTCCCTGAGCTTGGCACCCAGAGGGGACTTAAGGTCGGAGGCCTCTCCTGGCCTTGAGCATGTCCGGCCGCTCAGTAGCCCACTCATTTTGCTCTTAACCTCCAACTACGGCCGGGCTTAAATACTCCTCCACCCGCTAGCCCTGGGTCCCGCCTCCCTGAAGCAGGGTCCAAGCCGGCCCCGGAGGGCGCCCTCTGTTGGGGGCCCTTTACAAGCAGAACAGTGCTGCTTGAGGAGGGGGCGTCTCAGGCGTTTCCTCAGACGTCCTAGGCGAGATTGCACGCTCCGGAGCCTGCTACGGGGGTGGCCGTGCAAAGGTTTAGGGACCAGAGAGATAGCCCGAAAGGCAAGCGCACCCTCCACACCCAACCCCGACTATCTTCCACTACTAAAGCCTTTTCACTCTCTGCCTCTTCATCCTGAGTTCCCTTTGAATCTACACTGTGGGCGAAGACAGAAGCTGGCTTCCCTCGGGTTACAGGTCATTCTTAGAGACACTGCATTCCCTGCCTAAGCAAGAAAATTCAGAGGATTCCAGCCCCAGTCCCTCCGTCTTCCAGACCCAAATCTTCTTGGAGCACAGGTTGCCCCCAAGAGAGTGTAAGGAAGTCTGTCAGCCTCTTAAGTTTCCCAAACAGCTGAGATGAGAAGCAGCTACATGTATTAGGATGATAGAGAACCACCACTCCGCATCTCTGCAGGGACAGCCTGGGCCTAAATTCCCAGTTCGGGGCTTCAGGAAAAATACCGAAGGGATAGGAAAGTTTTATTTTATTTCTTAGAAACCAAAGAACCTGAAACACCATTTATTACATTCAAGTGCGATTCGCAGATTAGGCACCCAAAAGCACGTTTGTGGTTCAGTGAAGTACAAGTTGTTGCCTCCCACCCACCTCACGCAGTCCTGTGATCCCTACGGAGACCGGGAGGTTCTGAGCTCCTGAATCCCACTGTTTGCCCCGTCCCCTCCTCCACTCACGAGAACCTCAGCACCCCTCCCCATCACCCTCTGGTCCCCAGTCCCTGACCCCAAAGTCCTGGGGGTAGGGTTCAGTGAGGGTGGGTGTCCTCTCTTCAATTCCTTCTATTGTTCCCCAGAAGGCTTATCTGGGCTGTACGTCCTGTCCCCCTCCCAAAAGGCCCCTCCCCCCATTGTCAGACAGAGGGACCTCGGGCCCACAGGGAGGCTCCAGCTCCTCCTCGCCCCTACCTCCACCCCAGCAGTCTATTGTCTGCTGAGGAAGCCCAAGTGCACGTGACTAGGCCCAGGGGACAAGCGGACAAAGTGGACACGCTGATGACCAAGGACCCAGGACAGAGAACCTGGACATGGGTCTCTGCACATTTGGCTTCCTGTCCCAGGGGCTATCCCAGAAACTGGGAGGGGTGAAGACCCCTCTGGACTCTACACTGGGGTCTACAGCTTGAAGAGGAATCCATTCCTGCTCAGTATGGATGCGCCTTATGACTTCCTAGACAACAAAAATAAGATCCAGAGCCAGAAGGGGACATAGTACCCAGCATCCTCTCCACCATCTCATTCTCCCTCAGCTGAACAGGGAGGCCTCCGAAGAAAGGTACATTGGGCATTTGGTGCTTTAGAATCTGGGTGTTGGGGGAGTGGTGGGAAGTCAGACTACTGTGGGCTTTCCAGTGTGGTCTAGAACAGAGGCCAGATTGGGGTGGGGGGAGAGGGACTTGGTAAAGGGGAGGGTTTATCAAAGATCTAGGGCAGGGGTGTCAAACTCATTTTCACCAGGGGCCACATCAGCCTTGTGGTTGCCTTCAAAGGGCCAAATGTAATTTTAGGGCTGTATAAATGTAACTACAGGTAGAAACAAGGTGCTGGGCCGGATAAAACAAGGCGGAGGGCCTGATTTGGCCCGAGGGCCTTGTGTTTGCCACCTGTGGTCTAGGGTTTTCCAGCGGCTGCAAGCCCCGTGTCTGGACTGAGAGGCGCTGCAATTGCAGATGAGGGACAAAGACGGCCTTGTCTTTTATCTTACAGCCTGTGCCCTGCTACTTTCACCAGACCCCCCACTCAACTGATTCGAAGGGCCAGCTGATCTCTTCCATACCACTTCGTCCCCCTTACCCCCACCACAGCTTCCCCACTTCCCTGTGCCAAGACAGCAGCCTCAGTGATATAACAAAACCTTTATTCTCAGAAAACAGGAAAAAAACCCCAAAACCAATCATTTCTATCTGGCCCTTGCCCCAGCCCTCCCACCCACCCACATATCCTCCTTTTGGGGGACCTGTGATGCATGCATAGGGGTGGGAGCTGAAGGAGCCCATGTTACTGGGACAGAAAGGAGTCCTTCTGAGTCCAGGTACCCTTCTCCAAGTTGACACCACTGCCAGCCTTGCCCACCTCCGACACCGAGAGGGAGGAGTTTTGCGGCAGGGCCAGAAGGGTTGCCCTGAAGTTCCTTAGGGAGAGAGTAGCTGAGTCAGCACCACCCCCATGGCCTTCGCCAGTTACAGCTCATCTTCATCCAACTTGGCAAGTCTGGCCTGGCAGAGTGGGGTGTTTGGAGTTGGCGGAACTGGTGGTACTGAAGGAGAGTCTCGAGGAGTCTGGGAGATGTCACCAAGGGCCTGAAGAAAGGCACAAGCTGAAGGATCAAAAAATTTAGGAATCCACCCTCACCCATTACTCTCTTCAGTGTAAGCCCCTGTTGCACCCACATCCTGCAGACACCTTGGCTGATCTGAGACCATCGGTTAAAGTGCAGGGAGGAGGGTAAGAGATGGGGAGTAGGAAGAGGCAGACAAGAGGAAGGTGGTGGAAGAGGAAGGGAATGGGGGAGGGGGATTTGGGGATCCCGGAACAAGGAGAGGCCTTTCCCGTTCTACCCTTCCGACCAGGGAGTGCCATTCTTCATACCTGTGTTTCCAGGGGCAGAGGGGCTCTGGCCAACTCCCCTTTGGGTAACAGCAGCAGAGAGGGGAGAGAGCCATTGATGGGTGTGTGTGTGCTGACCTGGGACCGGTCTCCAGGCCGAATTTTCCCAGGGCTTCCTACCCCAGGCCCTCCTGGCCGCCCCAGACTGTTGGTCTGGCTCTCTCGTCTCTGGTATTCAATGGGAGACTGCAGTGCTGGGGCAAAGAGGAAAGTGGAAGGAGGGTTACCGCAGACAGAGGTCCTTTCCCTCAGGGCTCTGCTCAGGCCATCGTCCCATTTGCCCTCCCTCCAAAGCACTGTCATCCGTGTATACTTGCCTTGAGGGATTCTGAGTTACTGACTGTTGAGCTAGTAGTGGAAAAGTGGGAATAGGGGACAAGGAGAAGCTGGGGTCAGAGGGCAGGGCTGGGAGACTGGGCAGTGAGGGATGCAGGAGGTCAAAGGGCTGAGAGAGCAGGAGGAGGAGAGAGGGTGAGAGCTTTACCATTGAGAAAGTCTCGCTGGCTTTCCAGGATCTGAGCCACTTGCTTGACCCAGGCCTGACTAACTGCAGGGTCTGCAGTCTGCAGGACATAGCGCTGGATTCCCCCCTCCGGCCCTCTGGAGGTCAGAGCAAAGCGGCAAGGGTCACCTTGGAGGTTCCCCTCCAGGCCAAGACAGCTCACCTGGATTGGCAAACAGGAGATAGCGCCCCCGAATTCCTCAGGCCATCTCTGGTTCCTGCCCTCTCCAACAAATCCAAAAGCCAGGCACGGTGTCTGAGGCCTCCGCGCACCCCAGGAGAAGCCCTCCCTACCTTGATGCTGCTCTTGTACGCATATCCAGGCTGTGCCCCGCCTCGCGCCCCTCCTCCCAGGGCCTCACTGAAGATGACGATTTGCTCAAAGAGGAAGACACGCCGCTCTCGACCCCGGGAGGAGAGAAGCCCCCCAGCCTCGGGCTCCGTGACCCAGAATGTGTCCTGACACAACAGCTTCCCCTGAGCAGTCAATTTGCCCTAGAACCAAAGGACAGTGGTCTTCCAACAAAAAACAAAGAGAGAAAAGGGGCAACTTTCTCCCCGCTCCTCCCCCTGACAGACCCAAACAACCGTAGGGAGAGGGTTCCCCATAAGGACCACCCGGGTACTCAGGCTGGGGCAGAAGAGAGCCCGGCCTCAGCTTTCCTCCTCCCTCCCCGTACCTCAAACCCCCGCAGTCTCCCCAGGGTCATCATGTCATTGCAGCGCTTGGGCACGATGCACATGACCTCCACAGCTCGCTGGGGCACAGGAGAAGAGAGAAGCATCGTCATTGTTGGGAAGGAGCCGCCTTTTGACTTCAGACCACGTTCGACCCCCGGCGAGCCTCCCCCCAAAATCGGACAGCACTATACCACCCGAGGAGCTGGGGGGTCCAGGAGACTAAGAAGATAAGGTGTGCGTCGTGCCCTGGAAGACTCTCACCTCCAGCTCTTCAGCATCCATCCCAGCTCTACTATAATACTTGAGAAAATCCTAAGATGTAAAAAAGAAATGGTCAGGGAAGGCACCAGGACATCCTCAGAGGCTCTCGCAGCCTCCCCCAAAGACACAGGCGAAGACTCCTAGGGAGTCTGGAGGAGGACTTGGGGACCCTGGGGAGATGAGTGAGGAAGGCGCTGTGCGGACCGACTGTGAGTCCTGGAAACAGGTCGGTGTTCCTGACCTTGAGCAGCAGCTGGTATTTCATGATCCTCTGCACTGGTTTGATGAGGAGGTCACTGAGCTGCAGTCGGTGTCCCAGCTGCTGCCGGAGCTCCTGGAGACAGAGACACGAGGTGGTTGTGCAGCCTGGGAAGCCTGCACATGATGATTCTGCCCCTCTTTCCCCCAAGTACCTCAGCCACTGACCTCGAAGTAGCTGTCCCCAAATTCTGACGCCACATGCTCTGATTTGGGCTTATTCTGACAGTATACCACATACATATGCAGCCGGCGCTCCTAACAGGTGTAAAGTTTAAGAAGGAGCAGGGTGGGTCAGCGGGGAGATAGCATCTGCTGAGTCCCATCCATCCCCAAGCCCCACCCTCTCAAGCCTCACATGTTTGATGAATAGCTGAGCCAGCCAATCAGGATCCTTCAAACACTGCTGTAGTTCCCCCAGGAAATAGCTAGACAGATTCGAAGGAAACAGGTAGGTCAAATATCCCCACCCATGCA